TTTTTTTATATATATATGTATATGTTGTTTGTTTATTTTGTATATACTTTATATATATGGTATTTGGTTGATTAGAATTAGAAGTTGTTAATATGTGTACACACTTTCGGATAATTTTATTATTATTATATTATTATGTTTGTATTGTTTAACTTTCGATTTTTTATATGTTACGTACGGCACTCCAATGATGCTTGTTGTTGTTGTTATTTGTTATTATTGTTGTTGCTTTCTCAAATTTACTGTTACTTTGCTTTTATTATTATTCCATGCAGTTATGATAAATTTGTTGCTGTTGTTGTTGTTGTTGCTGCTGCTGATGTTTGAGTTGACTCGTTTGCTTAAATTACAAATTATGTAAACATAAGATAGACGCACACACACACGCACACTTATCAACTAATATATATGTATGCACACACACACGGTGCCAAAATGTCAATAAAAATTTGAATTTATCGCAATTTCCTAGACAAAATCACTTGAAACGCTCTGTTATCGATCTTATCGTATAGAATCGAGGACGAATGCAACCAATACTGCATTACCACTGCATGTACATATGGATGTGTATGTATGTATATGTGTGTGTTTGTGTTTATATTTATATTATGTCAAAAGCTCAAATGTAACTACTATAATTTTGTAAAATATATACATATGTATGTATTTATCATACATACATATATACATATGTATGTATACAATTATTTTATATTTATAAACACATACACATGTAAAGGAATTTGTATTTTTTTCACAGTTATTTTTTGGCTCTGACTTTGGCTTTGCGCTGCTTTGCTTTGCGTATGCGTCACGCGTCGCCTTTGCGTGCTCGTCTTCGCCTCACGTTTGGTTCTAACACAAAAATTGGTCGACAGACGATGCCGTTGCCGTTGCTGTTGCTGTTGCTGTTGCCATTCGTGAATTACGGACCTGCGCAATGGAATGGCCTCTCTTTGGACGCAGCATGCAGCAAAACTGTAACAGCCTGAAGGCGCTTGTTTCCCAAACACCTTAATTTGAAGTTGACTTGAATTTCGTTTCCTAGAACTGTTTAAATACAAGAGTATTTAAATAACGGAACAAGTATCGATGCATCGGCATATTTAGTACTCGCAACTCGATCGATTGGCTTGCGATATGTATGCACGATAACATTCTATTAATCGATAACACACTTTGATTTAAATAACCTGCCCAGGAAGCTGCTTATAAAAATGGATTTTAAGATTAAAATATAAAATAATATTATTATCTTAATACTGCAAAATAAACACATATTTTTTAATAGAAGCTTTATGCTTACAGATTACAGATTGCACGCTAGCAAGGCATTAGGCAATGTAATGATATTATTTATTTTAGCCATTGTTGCAAGAACTTATCAGCCCAGTTGCACGCAAGGCCCAAGCTCTGGCTGTCCCTCAGCTAACGAACATTCTGTATTTACACAAATATGCGTATGCCACGTACACGTGCCTCTTGTCAGAGCACATTTTTATTTATTATTCTATTAGTGTGTGTGTGTGTGTGTGTATGTGTGTGTGTGTGTGTGTGTATGTGTGTGTGTGTGTGCGTCTTCTGCTGCTGCGTATCTGTTTGAATTCGCGCGCATTTCGATGTCCACAAGTCGAATTCTTATAAGCGTAGTCAGGCGAACATTTTGCATTGAATTCAAATTGCGTTGTGCTTGGCTTGTTTTATAATTTATTTCAATTATATTTTGCGCCATATACGCTAAAATCGCCTCTCGAGGGCTAGCTCTCATCTCTAATGCTCACGCTCACACACTCTCGCTCTCGCGCCTATCGGTTGGCCTCTTGCGCTGCTACCCCGTTTCGCTCTCTTTATATGTTGGTGTCGCTCTCTGTCTCTCTCTCTCTCTCTCTCTCTCACACACACTCACTCTGTCTCTCCCATTGGTTATCTTCTCGTTGGCGCTTATTAGGGCACTAGGTTTTCATGCAAGCCTCGGAAAATTGCTGCCCACTAATACACACATACACATAGGCACACAAACACAAATATTCAGTAGACAGTTTTGGGGCAACTTTTGCATTTCCTGTTCACCCAAAAAAGCTTTCAATAATAATGCTACATTTTCTTCATACGCCACGTTTGCGTCAAGTAAATTGAACTTCTATTGAATGCCAAAGACAAGTTGTTTATGACATAATTCAATAAACACACACACACACAAAATAATATATTTTATTTATACGTACATATGTATAGGCATAAATGTAAATATGTATGTGTGTGTTTGTAGAAGAATGCTCACGCGCCATATGTTTCAAGCGTTTGCTAGAGGCGCTTTTAAATATGAAAATCTTGTGTGCTCGTAGATGACAATGTATGCATGTGTGTGAGTACGTGTGTCTAACAATAACGTGAAAAACTCGTTAGCAAACGAACGAAAAACATTTAAATATAATACACACACACACATATATATATATATATATATATGTGTGTGTGTGTGTGTGTGTGTGTGTGTGTGTGGCTGTATGTATGTAGGCATATTATGTATACGCGCAGTGTGCGCTGCGTTTTATCAGCTTGCAGCTAAAGAGGGAGAGCAAAGAATAGAGAGAGATGGGAAGCAATAGAGAGTGAGAGCGACCGACTGGTAGAAAAAGCTTTGCCGTAGCTCGCACACAAAAACACACACACGCACACATGGAAAGACGGTGAGTGAGTGTGTGCTTCTGCTGCTTTGACACAGTTTTATATGACGTCGTTGATTTTAATTTTTCGTTAGCTCGCTCATTTTTTCAATGCTTATTTCATTCTTCTTCGGATTTGCCAGATTCTGAATGTTTTTCTGTGTTGCTTTTGAATGACATTTGACCATTGGAATGAGCTGAGCTGAGCGAACCTGCTAAGGCAGTTTGTTGTTTCCAATATTTAACACATGTTATTATTGTTGTTGCTGTTACGGCTGGTGAGCCAGCTGCTTCCAATAGGCAATCAGCATTTTCTTATTGGAAAACGTGCTGTTGTTTTTGCTGCACCAACGATAGGATTTGAAGTGTTAATTAAATTCTGTCGCATGGCAGACACCTTCAAATGTAGCACATTAACATTTTAGTAAACACACACACATACACGTGAACGCAGAGACACGTTTATTCACGTAAGCTTTGCTACGTCTTGTGAGTGTGAGTTTAGGTGTGAGTATTTATGTAACCAGAAAGCCAGGCAAAGGCAGAGCCAAAAGCAAAGCAAGCAAGCGAGCGAGCACAGCGCTCATGTCAAGGCACACATAGATACTTTTTGGCATTGAAACAAAACGTAGTTCACAAAAAGCACACACGAACACACTCTCGCACATACACGTACTCAAACTTGCATGCACACTGTTTAGTAGGGACACACAGATACGCGCGTACACTCACATCGACAGAACTTAGAAGACGACGTCAAGAACGTAGAAGAAACTAACATGCGACGCATAAACACACTTGCACGTTTCAACACACACACACACACGCACACGCAAAGAGCTTAGAGAGAGACACATGGCAACTTTGAAGATGCATATACATAAATACATCCATACATACATACATACATATGTATGTACATATATACAATGTACGCAACTATTTAATTAAATATTGTTCGAACGAACTTTGAAGTCCAACAACAACAACGACAGAGTATCCAATGCGATTTTGATTGAAAAATTTATAACACTTTTTGTTAATGATCGTTTGATTAAATACTCAATGTTGAGCACTCTATATACATATACATATGTCTGAATGTATATTATTGCTGCCGCGTGCAGGCCACTTTGATAAAAGTACACACATACGATACATATGCATATGTATGTCAAATTGTATATACATAGTAGAGCAGCACTATTTGTGCTTAATTCGTTGTAATATTGTTACATATGTAGCATATAAACATTAACTCACTGATGACGACGCTCTGACTCTGACTGAACTCAACTGAACTGAACTGGACACTGAATGTGTTTGTCGTATCTGAAAACYGCCTTGGCGCTTGCTCGAGTTGCGCTCCTCTCTCTCGCTTTTTGCGCGCTCTTCTCTCTCTCTCCATCTCTCTCTTCTTGTTGTTTCTGCTTCTCTCTGAGGTGCCGAGATTTCTGTATAGAACTTTAAATTCCGATGGTAAGCAGTCAGTGGTTGGCGCACACACACATGTACAGTCCACCACACACACGCACACACACTCACACAGATACAAATAGGTTCATCGTGTCGTGAGAGCACAATTTTGCTTTCGTTGCTCATATTAAATATGTAAGAGTAGCAAACAAAAAACTATGCAGTGGACTCTCACTCGCTCTCTTTGCTCTCTCACATTGACACATTCAAAACAACCACTTAACGCACAATATGAGAATTCCATATTAACTTCCATTGTGAATATTCCAGGCAACCCATAAATGTATTCCCGGTTAAAGCGGGAGATATTCACACTCCATGCTCATCAAAAACAATACGAACGAACACACAATACTTTTTATCACAACAATCCCAATGAGACGACGTCCCACGATAACAGCATGCAGTGGTTGACGCTTGTACATAAATGACCAACAATTCGAATTTGAGATAAGATGTTGATATTCGTGTCTATTTACTTCATCTTGATTTACCAATCGTCGAATTATATTTATTTATTTATATTTTTTAAATTAATAATATCTTTTCTTACTTTTAGTTGATTAAATTGTTTCACGGTT